ACAAATCCCATATCTGTATGCTGATGAAGGTGTAACTTGTGACTTGAGGTGCCAGAAACAACCTGGAGATCAAATAGCAGTACACAAGGAAGATGTGCATTGTAACACCTTTTCTGCTCTCTTTTTCTCTTTTGATAATGATGTGCAATAATCAAAAGAATAAGGATTAAAAGGGAACATAATTTAAATGCCATACTTTAAATGGACCAGCTAGGAATAATACAGTTGTTCCTCATACCAAAGTGCATGTGAAACTATTTCCAAACATCTTCCTCAGAAGTCTGTGATTTTTTAATCACATCGTGGGTATGTGGGAAAGGCCAAGAGGAGCTGATGCATAACTTCATTTCTGGAGGCTGCCTGAGCACTGGTCTGCCATCTGCCCAGGGCACACCAAGCACAGTGAAGTCCTGCCAGGCTGGGCCTTCAGCACCTCACTTCCTTTGCCTTCCCTCAGAAAGGGAGTGAAACAACAGCTGAAGACAGGACAGTATTCATTAACAGAAGACATTTTCTCACTGGCAATTGCTTTAAGGGCAGTCAGTTTATGCTGCTGAGGTTGACATTGGCAGCTCAAAGTCCTGAGGTTTTTAATCGCTTCCTTCTCACAACACATTATACACAGAGCAGGTCTCGTATGAGACATAGCCCTATTTTGTTTTGTTTCAAAGTGGCATCATGGAAGGAATTGATGTACTGCCATTCAAAGAAAGGTACAGTCTAGTAATTATGAAAAAAAGCACAGGACCAAATCACTTCAGGGTGATTACTACACCTGTGGGTTCAGACGGTGAGACAGTGATAACTAACAACTATGCCAAAAACACTAGCCTCCCCTTCCTTTAGACAGGAGTCTAAATACACATTTTATCCTTTTGTAAAATATTTCTCATGCTTATCAGCCATTTTCCTTTTGCACTTGCTTCTGCTGCTCTCTTGACAGATGGTAAACCAGGACCAAGCACAGAAGTGGGGCGCAGCCTCACCAGTGATGGGGAAAATAGTTTGCAGGTTGTTATCACTGCACCGTGCAGCATGATCTGCAGGAGTTTGACTCATGCAACACACAGCCAGTCCCTGTCTGATCAGATTGATGCAGGAGCCTGGGGTCCACAACCAAATCATATGGTCCAAACCTGACGACCAGGAGAAATTTTTGTTCAGAATCACTATCCCTGTCCCAAGAAGAAGAGAGTAAAATGAAAAGAGAAAGGAGTGGAGTTGATGCAATTAATTTAAATTTCTCTGAATGTCTAGATGTGTATATATATGAAAGAAATCAGGGTTGTTTACTGACAGAAGGCATCTCTTTCCCAGTGACAGCCTTAAAATTTTAGGAGCCAGTTTTTTTCCCCCAAAGTATTTTGTGCCTATGGATCCTTTCAAGATTTTTGAAAAACATAGAAATTGTTAAAATTTATGTTGGAAAGAATTTTAGCTTAGAAAAATACAGTAAGAAGCAAATATTCCATTAAACTGTAGACTATTTGTCCATACCCAGATAGAGAAACAAATGCAAATGAAATGTAATGAATAGGCAGGATTTTAAATCATGTGGTTCTGAAATCCAAATCTAGGCAGTTTTCAGCATTATTAATTCCACACCACTTAGCTTTTCATTCTAATTTTTTTTCGGGTGCAACTTCTGAGGGTGAAGTCCATTTTTTTTTTTTATTTCTTAATAATGTTTTCAGAAGCAACCCCATTGCCCTCATTCACACAGCTTTGTTCCAGATCATATTCTGAAGGGAAACACAATACAGTCATTCTGTGTTTCCTCAGTAACTTCCTCTGAAAGTGTGTATTATTCCTTTCACTTAACTAACACAACTAATCCTCACTAATGATATTTAATGAGCCACACAAGTATGCCCTAGAGTGGATCAGACTCTGCTTAAAAACATAATTCTTTAGCAGTCCTGTTTTTTAACTGAAGTGTTAAATTGCACGTTTTAAGATACAGTATAATTACCTCAGAGCAACAATGAAAAGAGAAAAGAAGTTAGAATAGGTTTCCAAATTTGAAATGGGGTCCTAGAGAAGTGTCCAGTTAAAATATCCTTATATTCAAATTGCTATAAAGAAATATTTAATTTAAGATGTCTAGCCCATGGCATGGATATCAGTAGTCTTTATCTGCATATTTATTGTGTGAACCGTAGGTGAAATAGTTATTACTTTTGTGTATCTCTTTGCATTGATGCAGCTCCTAGTTACGGTCCAGAATCCCCCCCTTTGCTAAATGTCCTATAAACACCCAGCACAGCACATATAAATGCTACAGAGCTTATCATTTGAATATAAAACTAGAGGCAAGAGAGAGAGACGGGCTGGTGGAGGAGAGCAGGGTAACAGGCAACACTGTTCAACGTGAGGCAAAGGAGTCATAGCGCAGCCACAGCCTCACTTTGCCCATTTTGGGGGGGTTGTTTTTCTTGCGCTTTTTTCTAGACATCAAAGCAAAGGAGTTTTAATGAGGGTCTGAAGGAGAATAATGAGGTACTTTTGCAGATGTCTGCAGGGTGTTCCTCCCGACTCAAAGGGGCAACATGTACAAAGACACTTTGAAAAACAAGTGAGCAATGGAGGTTGGCATCTTAGTTCTTTTGAAATGAAAGGTCCTGATGCTGACCTCATTTACACTGGTGAAAGCTGTAACTCCTGTGAAGTCAGTGAAGTCCCTGTAGCATAAAATTGGTCCTGGATTACAATCTGCCAGAGCTGCCTTTCAGAAGCCTTGGTGACCACTGAAGCCACATTCCAAAAATACTTTCAGCTCATTTTTGTATTTACCATAGGGCTTCTTTACATCCTTCTGCCACTAGAGAGGGTCTTGAAAGTGCCCATTAGTTAACTGTTTGCCAAAAGTGTTTAACAGATCTTAATATAAACAAGAATCTGACCACTTTGGTTTTAATATTACATATATACGTGTGTAGTTGTATATATGAGCAAATATGCACATAAACGTATATACACACACACATACATACACACACAGACACATAAATATATGTATATTGATTCCTCTGCAGCCTGATATGGAGGAAGATAACTTCACTCTCTGATTAGAGACAAGACAATTTTATGTTAAGTGCTTGACTTGTTATCTCCTTTCCCATTTTTTAAAATATCTCACTGTCTGAGTCACATATTATGCACTTAGTATACACACGGAAAGAGGATCCCTCAGAAGAAATGCTACAACAGCTTATGCTAGCACTAGGTATATAACAGGAGACTTCAGGAAATTAAACTCTTAGGAGTTATTCGACCTCAGATGACCAATTGTATCTAAATTTGCAGGTCAGTCCTGAAAGCATCTTGAAGCCCAGGGCTCACTAAATTAAGACTCAGCTCTCCACGTCCATCATCTGCTCCATGTGGGCTACCTGAACTCAGGCTGTAATCCCACTGCTTGCATATGCATATGGTATCTGATAACACAGCTCTTCTGAAGGGAACCCCAGGCTATCTCATGTACCCAGAATGGGTCGTGTGACACTTCTTGAAGGACAGATTCAATGAACAGAACCAGGCAGAAATGTCAGGATATGACCACATGACATGTGAATGTATTGTTCCATGTACTCTGCTGTACCGAGATGTTTCCCCATGATAGCATCATCGTGGTGGCCCCAGAACTGGCCCAAGGGCCCAAGGAGTGCTTTGTGGACTGGCTATGTATTAGGTCTCAGGTTAGCCCCAGGGCTGCTCCTATGCCATGGTGTTGATGAGGCACTAAGCCGTGTTGCATGCCTCTCCACACAGGGCTGATGATGTGTCACTGGGGCTGACAGAGGCCCTCAGCACTGAGAGTCTGCATTTGGGGAAGGGAAGTTCTGTACAGGGGAAGATCTGACTGTCTCCCTTCTCCTTACACTCCCATCACTACTGTAGTTTTGTTCCCCCTTCCTCACCCATTCAGTCCCATGGAAAGCACAGGGGATATTCAACAGCACTGCCTTACTTGGAAAGTGAATAGGAACTAGAAACTCAGCATTAATTCAGTTCTGGGATCTAAGTGTTGCAAAGTATGCTGTAGGTTCCGCAGAACTCCAAGTGATTTATAGCAAATTTGGTGAGCAAAAAAATGATAATTAGATTTCTGTGGGCAACATTGTTTTTCCTACAGAAAGGAGTCATAAACAGAGTAGGAAGCCAAAAGTTACTATTTCTGAGTGTCTCTCTCCATGTGGGTTAAGTTGTAAGTTAAGCACTGCCACTTTATTCTAGAACTAATATAGTACTTGCATATTTAATTAGAATAATATATATAAGATAAATTCTATATATTTTTTCTTTAATATATTCCCAGTTTTGCCTTTATAAATCATTCATTTCACTATTTGTGAAACAGAAAAGTCAACCAATAGCAGGAAAAAGGAATTATTACAACAATATACCACTTGCAGAATAGCCCAATCACTTGCAGAAAAGTTTGTACCAGCTATTCTAATTGCGATAGGATCCTTCCCTAAGTTACCAGCTTCCTGAACACCAGTGCTATTTCTGTTTCAATAATTGCATGTGGAGAATGAAATATTAAATAAATAATGTGATAATCCAGGATTTGGTTTGCTTTGATTTTTTTTTTTTTTTTTTTAACTTATCAAGGCAGAGGATGTAAAGTGTTTTAACTGTACGGCTCCCTCAGTCTGGAACAAAGCTCTCACTGATGTCAGCTCAATTTATATCCTACAGAAATCAAAATTGGAACATGATTTATAACTTACAGACCCTTACATTACTTTTTAAATCAGTGACATGCATGCTCTATATTAAAACTTTGATCCCAACCAATTTCTCTGCAGAAAACCACCAACTGATATATACAAGGGCTTTACTGAAAACAAGTCTTGGTCTAACTTATCATTAAAAAACCCCAACAAACAGCAGAAGAACACAGCACGGGCAGTCTTAGCTCCAGAAAGCACACTTGGAAAGTTAGCATTAGTAAACTATATTGTGAATTACCAAAAGCTAAGTTGTAACCTCACCTGCTTTGTGTTGTCTTTAAGCAGCCTTTAAGATGTCTATCAGTAACCTCTTTCTGTTGTTTATTATCCACCTTGGGTGCAGTTTCTTTCTTGCGACAAATCAGTGTGTAGTTTTCGTCATTGTTGTTTGCCCAGAAGGTACCAACCGATGTTTCATAGCGTATACAGAACTCCACCTTAGCTCCATCTTTCTGGTAAGGAGGCATCAGAGAAATCCTAAAGCAGAACTGATCGGTTTCACTACCACAAGAATTAGGCATGAACTCTGCGAGGATATCACAAAAACTGAGCCAGTTATTCAGCGTCATTCGAACATACACCCTTTTTTCAAAGGATACATTGAGGACTCGAATAATGCCGTTCATACAGGTAATCCCAGGCAGGAACAGGACAGATTCCAACAATACTTTCTGCTCTCGCACTTTATGTAAAAGTTCTTCCTGTGAAGCAGGTAACGTAAACAGTTGAGAGAAATAAAATTCCTCCTGAGGGAAAACGTCATTATCAGTGTCATTATTGTGTCCTGTGTTTGGAATATCCCACATATCAAACTCTTTAACAGACACAAGATCAAACCCAAATGCATCAGCAAATGAAACTTTTCTTCTGGTGGTGGTTGGGGTGTCTGCCTCATCTTCCTCTGAAGAAACAGAACTCCGCCGTCGGGGACGCGGAGAGAAACGGTGCTTAATGGTAGGTTTAAAATCTTCGTCCTCTGAAGAGAAATCATTTACAGGGGGGACTTGTAACAAGTTTGCACTGTTACCCTGACTAGGTCCTTGAAAAGACTCCATTGGGCTCTCTGATATCAACTGAAGAGAACTGTACAACTAGTAGCAGCTGATATTTGAGACACTGTGATTTAAAACAAGGATTAATGTTACAGTTGACATTGCAAAAATGAGTCAGGCATATTAATAGATGCTATGGTGTGTGAGCTATGTTAGCCTCTCCCCCATCTGACAGTATTAGTTGCTATAATTTCAATGATACATTTCAAATATTGCATTCCCTGTATTTATGTGGCTCTACAACCTAAGAAGAAAAATAGTATGCAAAAACTAACTTCTTTGCATTGTGGAACTGCACAATTGGAGCTATTTTAAGATGATCATTTTATATTGCACTAGAAATTCATCCCATTGCACAAATGAGGAGCTACTTATTGCTCATGAGGATGCACGCTCACCAGGTAAATAGTTTCTATATGTGAACTATTCCTGCATATATTTTCAATTACTTTTTTTTTTTTTTTTTTTTTTAAACAATATTTTCAGATACAGAATGTCACATTCTACTCTGGCTTTATACCATGCCAATTCAGTGGAACAGATTCTAAGAATGTAGCAGTTTTTTTATTTTTTTTTTTTTTAAACAATATTTTCAGATACAGAATGTCACATTCTACTCTGGCTTTATACCATGCCAATTCAGTGGAACAGATTCTAAGAATGTAGCAGTTTTTTTTAGCTAAGGATTAGCCATTGCAACCTAAATGAACCAGGAATACTATAAAATATGGAAATGAGCACACTGGAGATAAACATCTAACACACCATTGTAAATATGCCTGAATTCACCCCTAATTAGGTTATGAAATTATCTAGTGCTAGACTGAGTTTAGCATCATCCAGCCAAATGCAGAGAAAAGCAACTTGCAGAATTGGCTTGTGCAGTCAACCCTGAAGCTCAAACCTTGTGACATACAGCTGTAAAGAGGAGGAAGAAATGCTGTTTAAAGGGTTTTCAACCTTTGTGCAGGACATCTTCCCATGATATGAAATGAAACCATGGCTTCTCAATCCACTTAAGCACTTAGCATTTGGCTTTTACTTTTATGGCTTTCCATGCATGGAAAGAGGCAGTCTTTATGAGACAAAGATCATGTCAGCTCAACATGTCAGCTTTTTCCGTCTTACTGCTTAACTTGTCCTTTTTTTCCCTGTGTCTGTCTCAAAGGCTAAGCCTCAATTCTAACGGTGCAGTACAAGCCAATAAATATAATGGGACTTGTTTGAAATTAGCCACATCAGAGACTGACATCAGTACCATCATCACAGATCTCAGTACAGGCTAGAAAACTAACTCTTCATTCACATTCATTCACATTTCCAAATAGTTCATCCCTTTTCCACTTTGAATCCTTCCCCTTCTTGTTACTGTGTCATTAGTAACTTTAAAGCTTACCTGGGTATGTCTATTACAAGACAATGAAGTAAATCTCATTTTACCATGAATCTCCTTTTCTGATGAGGCATCGTCTTACACCATGAGAGCATCTCCAGCTCTTACCAATGCTTCTCATATTAACCTCTCAATAGCCATCCCACCTGCTATTGTAAAAACATTCATACTCCCCTAGTATTATTATACTCGTCGACAGCAGCCTATATAAAGATATTTATAAAATAGCTTTCTACCATAAACTATATAATCCCAACCACAGCCTATAAATTTATAGAATATTAGTGATTTGGAACCAGTACTGTATGTTGTACTTTTCAACACGTGCCAAAAGTAAGAGCCTTCAAGACTTCTTTTTCAAATAGAGATGGTAGTGCTATCTCACCATGTATTCAGGAGTGTATAAGAAACAAGAGACATCTCCAGAGTGCCAAACAGAGAAGAGTCCAGATTTATTCAGTGAGATCCCAGAAGCATCACTTCTGCCTGCTCCCACTTACTGCTCTGCACAAAGCTGCAGAGATGATATGCCACCTAGATGTTTTGGCTTTGTACGGTGTGAATTAGGCACAGCTTGGGGAATGAGGCTTCTTGCTCTAATGGCAACTGAACTTCTTCCGTCAATGTAATCTAAGAAAATACTACTGCAGTAATAATGCAAATCAGGAGAACTTAGCTTACCTTACTGGTTACGCCTATTTCTGTGAAAAAAATATTTCTTCTTTTTCATTCTGTATGTTTCTTTACAAAAATCTGCATATATAAATGTAAATGGAAGGTAACTTCCCTGGTGGACTCTGGTGGGTAACAGAGATAAGAGGTGCAGGAAGGAGATGGGCTGCCCACCAATTGCACTAGGGGGAAGGAAAGGTGTACCTCAGACCAAGGCATGCTTTGAGAATTCCTTGATTTATAGTTGAAAATGGAAGGAGAAAAGCAGAAAAAACATTGCTGGTAGACTGTACGAAAATAGAGTAAAGTCCAATTAAAGACAGTTTGATCTGCTGAATATTTTTTTGTGGAATTTTTGTTCTCTTAATGCTAGCAGAAACCTAACAGTCATTTGTTCTGGTCTAGTCCAGTACTAGTTCAGTCAAGGGGACTCTTTCCATTGGCTTCAGCAGGTACTAGATTAGACATTCTGCCCAAGTCATAAATCACTACATGCCATGATAAGAGCTGCCAGATGTTTTGAAACCAAAGATGTATTCCAATATTTATTTTTTAAACCAAGGAATATCAGTTACTTTAATTGACTCTGATTATTCTGTGTGCCTGTAACTAACTTGCCATTCATTGAGTTAAAATTCTTTACTTCTGTCCTGGATGGTGCTAAGAAACATGAAAGCTGGGAGTGACAATCTTCAGACTTGTGTCATTATATAGTGAGAGAAGCAACATATACACAGTAAGGTGAGTTAAAATAAGAAACAAAAAGTGCTCTACAAGAAGTAAACAATATAAAAGAGGGAAAAGATTCAGCCTTCACACAAGAAAGACATATCAGTGGTACAAGGGTGGAGATCAATAAACGTAGCTGAGAACAAAGGAAGGCCACAGTCTTGTGGAAAGCCATTCCTATCCACAAGCTTAATCTTCTTCAGTGCAGAGGCGTAGAGTTTTCTGTCTGTTCTCCACCTGATTTATGACTTGCCTGGACAGTTTGTACTGGGTTAAATTTTCATGACAATGCAAATCTTTTATCAAAAGTGTATATAGAATCACACTAAAGCAAACATAGATACACATATAAGAATTTCATTAACATTTTGAAAAAACTCTAATGAAAAATAATATCTTTTTTTTTTTTTCTGTATCTTGCAAAACAGTGCCCAAAATATTTAAATGAGACAACAGAGTAACCTTTTCCTTTCAGACTGTAATACCAGCAGGCAATCTTAGAATATTTTAATGGGACATCTTCTCTAATCAGTTGTTTTCTAAAGCCAAATGGCTTCCAGGTGTTCTTAAACACCTTTTAAGTAATAGTGGAGACAGCAGGCAGAATTGAACTGTGTAGAAAACAAGACAGTTCAATATGGGATAACTTCTTTATTGAACAGCATGGTGAACATGACAGGGAAGAACCTCAGAGCACACTTGGAATGTAAGTAGACACAGAGCAGAACAACAAAAGCAATTGCCAAATAGACATTTAATTGAAAAATACTTGCACCAGCCTACGTTTTTTGGCATATCTATTATTAGCACTGTCCATCTGATCTTTCTTGGCCTTAACTGGAAGGAGAAAGAATATACCTTTTGTGTCAAATGAAAAACATTTATGTCTTAAACATGGACTAAAGATGAGCAGTATAAAATCTGGTTACACACAATATCTTAACAGTGAGTTCTGTAGTATCCTAGCAAACAGCACTTCTTCAGCTGAGTATGAGATGTATTACTTACTTCACTGCGATTAAACACATCTATTAGGATGAGGCATAAAAACGTTTTCTCCTTGCACAGGGCACTATTCTAGCTGACTGTCGAATGGTCAAAAGTGCTGAACAAGAAGAAGAAGAAAGACTTTAAAGATTATATCCTTTAGGAAAAAACATTGCTGGCATACCGTGAGATGTATTTTGGAACAGCAGTTCATTCTTAAAGAATGTAGAACTAAAGAAGAAAGCACAGCATTTCATTTAAGCAAGATTTTATCTCTGAATTATACATGACTTAAGTTAAATATCAATAATAAAGGCTGAGTGAGGACAAAGGCTGTGCTCAGTTGTTTTCTGCTCTTAGTTATAGATTATATGCACTGTCAGAATCTTTTAATGAAGCTTTATCGTATTACTGCAACTGGTCTACTGTGTGATCCAGGTAGAAACCACATCACTTTTTAAAATTTGTGAGCCTTTCACAGTGCCAAGCAGAAAAAATTGAAGTTTTTGTAAATATATGTAAAAAGAAACATAAGAATTATTGTAAGACAATAGCCCACATTCATATAGTCACAGCTAAGTTATTGGCAAAATTCTATTTAACCTAAATTGATGACAGAGAGGTAAATACTGACAGAAGATAAGATAGTCATTGCACAGTGAAAATTCAGAACAGATTCCATGACTGCAACAGAATTTCCAAATACTCTGGTTTCCCCATTCTTCTTTTCACAAACATTTCATTTATTGACAAATTAAAAAGATAAAATATTTAACTAGCCTGGCTGACAAAGTTAACTCCTTCTTTGTTATCATATTTTGTGGGAAATCTTAGATTTCTAACCATCCAATGTTTTAGCAGCACTGTAGTGAATGAAGTAACAAAAATGCTGCTTTAATAAGGATATTTGAAGAAGAATCTGCTTTCCTGGGTTGGAAAAAGTCTGTGTAGTAGTAAGAAAAGACTGTATGCTTTTTCTGCCTCTGATTCTCCTTTTCAGATAGAACTGGTCACTGAGCCAATGAAGGTGGTTGTCTCTCTGATGTGAAAGCTTTTGCAGACATTTCAGGCAACGACAAGATGACTCCAACAAAGCATATGGATAAAACAGGGAATTTTCCTTGCATTTTTGAGAAGGAACCTTGATTTGGGGAGATTTTCACCCCTTTCACTTTTAATGATAGAACTCAGAGGAAAACAAAAGTTAATTCCAGAAATTATA